GGATTAACCTTTTTTATTCTGTGATGTTTATTAAATACTTGGAAATTATTTCAATGTTTTTTTTTTGTTTTGTTTTTGACAAAGATTCACAAAAAAGACGCTGGATTCTGGAGAGATTTTGGGTTTGGAATGACYTGTCAGTACCGCTCCGATTTCCTCCACATCGGTATGGACCCAACATTTTACAACAAGGTTTACAGAACGCTGAGTCAGCATTCACACGTGTTTTTATGTGCTGCTTCCACAAAAAATACTTGTTGCTATTTTAGCTGTTCATATACTAAAAGCTTCGGCRCATTTGGGACATGGGTGCTGTGACTTTTATTTTTTATTTTTACACTTTACAGAATYTTTAACTTTATTTACAAATATTTTCCTCATAGAAATACTGTTCTAATGTTACTTTTTAAGCCATTGTTCTGCTTCAATTAGCTTTTTGCTACTTTTATCAATTATCTTGCTACTTTTAGTTTTGATATACTGTTGTGCTATTAGCATTTGGCCACTGTTCTATATTTAGCTGTTTTGCTGCTACCAGCTTTTAGATACCTATTTGGGAATTTTACCTTTTTAGCATTTCTTTTACAATTTTAGCTGTTCACGGTAGTTTTGCTTAATATACAGTTTTCTTTACTGTTTTGCTAGTTTTAGTTTTGTTCGGCTGCTTTAAGATTTTAGCTGCAGTTTTTCTGCTATTGTAGCTTTTAGCTAACTTTTTAGCTACCAATTTGCTAACTTTAACTTCATTTTTGTTGTATAATTTTAGCTGTTGTTTGTAGTTTAACAGACTTGTTAGCTATTTTAAATATTTTTTTCTTTTGGCTAATGTTCTGCTACTTGTTGTGTTTGGCTAACAAGCTGCTATTTTAGCCTTGATATAACATTCTACTGGTTTTGGGTATCATTTTGCTACATTTAGCTTTAATTTAGKTACTTTTAACTTGTACTATATAGTTTTGCCATTTTAGACTTTTAGCTGGTTTGCTACTTTTTAGCTTTTTTCTGTATTTTAGCAGAAAAAGCTAGCTTCTTTGGTTGTAATAACATGTTTTTGTTCTTCCTTCAGGTGGTTTCGACCTGGAGGTGAAGGGCTGGGGGGTGGAGGACGTCCACCTGTACAGGAAGTACCTGCGCAGCGACCTGATAGTGGTCCGGACCCCCGTGTCGAGCCTCTTCCACCTGTGGCACGAGAAGCGTTGCGCGGACGAGCTAACGCCGGAGCAGTACCGCATGTGCATCCAGTCCAAAGCCATGAACGAGGCGTCCCACTCCCACCTGGGCATGCTGGTGTTCCGCCAGGAGATCGAAGCCCACCTTCACAAGCAGGCCTTCAAGACCCCCGGCAAACCGGAGGACTGAGGAAGACTCGGCGCCGTCAAAGAGCGTGAGTCGCCYGCAGAGACGTGTTCACACACCTGGACTTCACTGCTCAGCTGCAGACGAGTGAATGTATCAAACATGGATCAATGTGAAAAAAAAGAGCTGAAAAACGTCCGATCAGCAGGATTTCAGTTCAAACTAAAACTCAAAAGCAGTTTTTTCAAWTTTTAATCAATAAGCATGAAGTTCTTAACTTTACAAACATGGAACCACATTAGAAAAGTACAACACGTTTATTTATTGAGTTTAGAAACAAAAGCTGCACTTTTTCTAACAAGGTTAAATTATTTTAACCACAAAAAAAAAAAAACAGCTTTTAGATCCAAACTATCTTTAACTTGGTCACATCGTTCTCAACGGCTACAAAAGGGAACATTTTGTTTTTTAAATGATTGTAAGTTTAGTCAAACTGACGGTTGCAGCTGTTTTTGTGCGAGGCTAATGTCCGTTAGCTGTGGCGAACATTTTCAGTTGAATTTATTCAAAAGTTGTAAATCTGTTCGTTTTTCTGAAAAGTTAATTTAAATCCGTCCGGTGGTTCAGGAGATATTTCGCTAACAAGTTAGTATGTGTTAGGGATGAGTTTGAGCTCAAAACTTGTAAAATTGACTGAATTATAACCAGTTTTTAAAGATCAGTTGCCTGTGGCGGCCATTTTTAATCTGGGAAAATTTCAAAAGGTGTTAAAAATAAATCCGGTGATTCAGCATTTCGATTAAAATCTATCAACTGTTAATTTATTCAGTAAAACAACTGAAAGCAAATCAGATTTTACCTACATTTGATCCGCTTTAAATGGTACACGGACCTGCCTTTTTTTATATGGAGATCAGGTTATTGAATCATAAACATCTTACCTGTTGTAGATAATAATCTAAACAACCTGGATTTGTAGAAATAGTTAAAGTATGGCAGGATTGACGAGCTAATCGCTAGTCTGAGCCTAGACGAATAACGATCCATGGATAGGAAGGATGGGGGTGTGGTTATGACATTCAAGTCCCGCCCACTTTTTTTGCAAGACCACTTCGAATGCAGACAATTCTGAGGCGCTTCCACCTTTTAAAGAACTTGATTCTAAAATTTACAATAACCGTTTTTTTTTTTACCTATTTATTCTTACATTCCTGCTGAAAGGGAACAGGAAGTGCTACAMCTCGGCCGTTAGCTCGTCTCTCTTGCTTCAAAATATCAGAACTACCTCTTCAAAAAAGACGACAAATCTTAATTTGAAGTTTGGCATCAATTTAGGTTTTTAAAATGCCGTCCATGTCGTTCACGGGCCTCAGATAAAATCACGTCTGTAAATAAAAARATTTGTTTTGTACATTAGCCTCTAAAACGACGTTAACAGAATTGTTTCGTAGCTGTTGGTTTATCTCGTAACGAGAGGACAGTTCAGGTGTTGGAGGTATACAGGTGCTTTCTTTGACCTTTCCAGCAGGTAGTTCTCACATCCTGTTACTGTAATTCTTTACAAACTGTGTCTTCCTCTCAGCAGAACAAAAACTAAAGCTTCAGAACTTGAGCAAAGTCATMACTTTTATTGTGAAAGGTTGTCTAGAAAAGAAAAAGCAGCCTGCGATTCTTCTTCCTGTGACTTTTTTTTAACCGTTGACTCCGGTTAGAGACGCTTCCTGTAAACTTCAGTTCTATAATTTAACTAGAAAAAATGTAATCAAACGTGTCCAGTTTGTTTTTCTTTTTATTCTAACAGCTCATTCATGTTTCTTAATTTAAGACAAAAAGTATAATACAACTGTATTATCTGTCTGTAAAATAAACTAATGAAATAAAAAATACAAAGAATAAAATGATCTGAGTGAAGTGAGGAAAACTAAAGCTGATAATTTTACTGCATTAATGAGGCGTCTGTTCCGGGTGGACCCCCACAGTTCTGTAGATCTCTTTGAGGATGAGGAGGGCCGTGTCTTCAGACTGCCTAAAAACACAAAAACAAACGAGATTTAGTGGCAGGAAGTGACGTACGAGACAAAAAGGCTAATAAAAAATTTAACTTGGACAGAAAATTCACAAATTTAGATTTTTTTATTTATTTATTTTCAATCAGCTGTTGCCTAAAAATCCCAAAATTTTTAAGCTCATGAGAACAGGGAGGAAAAAGAAAAGTTAAAGGTGCTGCCAGGGGCTGATCGTGGTTGTCATGGTAACCACACACCTGCATCTGTCACTCCCTGCTCGTTGGGTTAATGAGTATCAGATGCTTTCAGTTCACAACTCTCTTGAGTCCAACTTGCTGTTTTCTCAGTGACCATTTATTTGTTTCATTTTAGCTCTTTTCTACTATTTGGTTAATTCAAGCTTCTAGTCAGCTTATTTAGCTGTTAGCTTGTTTGAGGGACTGACAGATGCAGGTGTGCGGTTACCACGGCAACAATAACCTTTTCTTCTGATCATTTCTTCCTGCAGGTCTTCCAAGGTTCATACATCATTTCGTTCACTCAGATTATCACGACAGGAAGATGAAGTTTTTATGATTTCTCTCTTTAAAAAATACAAGTGGTGACGAACAAAAACGACCCGACACCGGACCGACCATAAAACGACCTGACACCGGACCAACCATAAATCGACCCGACACCGGACCAACGATAAAACGACCCGACACCGGACCAACCATAAATCGACCCGACACCGGACCAACCTTAAATCGACCCGACACCGGACCAACCATAAATCGACCCGACACCGGACCAACCTTAAATCGACCCGACAACGGACCAACCATAAAACGACCCGACACCGGACCAACGATAAAACGACCCGACACCGGACCAACCATAGAACGACCCGACACCGGACCAACCATAAAACGACCCGACACCGGACCAACCATAAAATTACCCAACAACGGACCAACGATAAAACGACCCGAACGACCCGACACCAGACCAACCATAAAARMACCCAACACCAGACCAACCATAAATCGACCTGACACCGGACCAACCAAAAATCGACCCGACACCAGACCAACAATAAAATAACCCAACACAGGACCAACCATAAAACGACCTAACACCGGACCAACCATAAAACGACCCGATGCCGGACCGACGATAAAATGACCCGACACCAGACCAACCAAAAATCGACTTGACACCAGACCAACAATAAAATAACCCAACACAGGACCAATCAAAAATCCACCCAACACCAGACCAACCATAAAACGACCCGATGCCGGACCGACGATAAAATGASCCGACACCAACCTAAAACTAAAATGAAGCTGGTTTTCGGTAGTGTTAGCAGGACGTACCAGTAGCAGAGGTGACTCTGGAGGGCGAATAGGTACTCGTTGAAACTCTCGATGGGTTTCTCCTGCAGGACGTAGTCGATGCGATTCCCTCCGTTTAACATCCCGATCTTGACCTGAGGCTCCTCCTCCCTGTGCGGCTCGGGGCTCTCAGGGATTTTATGCCCTGAAAACAAACAGGAAGAGACACTGAGGATTTGAACGAGCGGTTCGAGCACTGCGACGCTACGCCACGCCCACCTTCCTGCGCCTGCTTCTCCTCCTCCTCGATCTGATCGGCCACCATGGCCAGCTGGGCCTGCAGCGCCGATGAGGTGTGGGCGCGAGCGAACTCGTTGAGCGTCTGCCAGGCGGTCCTCAGGGAGCTGATGAAGCCCTGCTTCAGGTCCGAGCCCATCCTGGACAGACTCTCCTTCAGCTCTGAAATAGAATTCAGATCCGGTGAATCCGTCTGCCAGAACCACCCGTTAAGAAAACAAAACCTGTTGGAGCTGCAGGGTTCGTACCGAGGTGGAGCCTCTTCCTGCCTTTGTAATGTGGGATCAAGACGGGCTTCAGGTCCAGGTCTGGGACGATCAGGGGCTCGATCCTGTACGCCACCGGGTCCAGCTGAAACGAAGCTCGTAGTTAGTCCTGGTCCCTGAAACCTGACCTTAACGATGGGTTTGATCTGCGTACGGGATGATAGATGTTGAAGAAGCCTTGGCATGTGGGCAGCTGGTACGACTCCTCGATCTTCTCCAGACCTCGGACCGTCAGGAACATCCCGATCGGAGACCCCAGGGCGAAGAAGTTCACTTGTTCAAAGTCCATAGTGTGGTACACCACCGAGACCTGTAGAACCAGACCTGCTTTATAAATAAATCCTGCTGTAATAATCTGAACGCTGAGTCAGCGCTAATGTTTCTTTTTTTATTGCAGACTATTTTAGCCATTTGTTTCTCAAAATGTTCGGCTCATTTGGGAGATAGCTGCTTTTTATGCTTTGCTAAATATTTCACTTCCCCCTCATAGTTGGAGATTTCTCTAAAGTTTTAGCTACCAGTTTACTACTTCTAGCTTTAAGTTAGCATTTCATTTTGCTAGCTTTTTGCCCATATCTTTTAGCCTTTTGTCCCTGATTTAGCTACGCATTTGTTACATTAAGCTTTTAGCTAGTGTTCTGCTAGTTTTAGATGCCCTATTTTTTTAGTTAGCTTTCTGCTAGTTTAGCTACAGGTTTGTTACTTAAGGCTTTTAGCTGTTGTTTCGCTAGTTTTAGCTTTTGATATATTTCTCCTGTGAATTGGTACTTTAAAGTACCTGTGACATCAAATGTTTGTAGTAAACATGAATGCATTTTTGGAAAGATAACATTGATAACATACTGCAGAACAAATTTCAGGTTGCTGAGATGAACGTTTMTTGAGATATTTGCATGTGAAGAAACAGGAAGTGATGTCAAAGGGGAATGTCAGCATGTAAACAGAGCGTTGTTACAAAAGCTAACAACACAGACTGTAGAGAAGAATCTGATGATTCATTAGATGTAAGAGTTAAAGTTTTAATTTTGTTTTAATAAACAAAAAACAGAGTTTATTTTATTAATGAATTCTCCTTTGATGTCACTTCCTGTTTCACTTCGGCTGAGCAAAATTTAAAAGAAAATAGGCCAGTTATGTGACAAAATGTATAAAATCATGTGTTCTTTGCCAGTTTTCTTAAGTATAAAGATACTTTCTTTGACTTTTTGTATTTGAAGGATAGACATGTCACAGATACTTTAAGGTAGCCTTTTCCCACTTTTAGCTCCTAGTAATCTTTTTACTAGTTTAAGCTACACTATCTTGTAGCTAGCCTTGTCCCTATTTTAGCTTCCCATTTGTTACATTAAGCTTTTAGCTATTATTCCGCTAGTTTAGTATAGCTGTTAAAGAAGCCATAGCATCAGGTGACATTAGCCACTGAGCTAGCCTTTTGCTGGTTTTTGGCTAGTGTTCTGATCTTTAGCTACCCTATCTGTTAGCTAGCTTTGTGATGGTTTAGCTACACTGTTGTTACATTAGCCTTTCAGCTGGTGTTCGCCCTTTTTTTATAAGTGTTTGATACTTTTAGGCTTTTCTCTTTTATTTAGCATCTTGATACTTTACTTTTCCCACTTTTAGCACTTAGCTAGCCTCTCTTAGTTTTTAGCTGGTGTTCGGCTTCTTTTAGCGCCAAGAATGGTTTCAGCTGCAGATATATTTACCTGTCCGGTACCAACTTCAAAGTAATTGTAGTCGACGTGGACGGAGGAGACGGTGCTGCCCACCGGGAGCTTCTTCATGGTCGGATCAGCATGAACTTCAGCTGCAGGAGGCGGCCCCACCTGGAGGTCTCTTTTAGCCTCTAATTGCTTCTGCTGAGCTGCCTGTAAACAAAAATAAAAGACCAGAAAATAAAGAGTTGAGCTCATATTAACGCCTCACACTTAAATTATCACTGAGCGCTAAATGACTTCACTGAAATGCTTTAGACAAGCAGAAAAGAAGCTAAAATTAGCAAAAAAGTTCATCTAAGTAAAATTAGCATTACAGAAGCTAAAAGGTRCAAATCAAAACAGAAGCTACAAATTAACAAACTAGTGTTTATGAGCTGCATATGAAAAAAGAGCCGGTAGCTGAAAGCAAAAAGTAGAAAAAGCTACATAAAAGAAGCAGAACAGTAGCTAAAAGCAGCATAGGACAAAACAGAAAAGGCTAAAACAGTTTTTTTAGAGCTAAAAGCAATAGAACACTAGCTAAAAGAAGTAACACATGACTTAGCGTAAAGCTTATTGTTAAAACTAGCAAAACACTAGCTAAAGTATGAGAGTAACAAAAGGGAAGCTAAATTAGCTAAAAGGTACAAGTAGAAAAGGGCTACTTTAAATTTCAAGATGCTAATTAAAAGTAAAATGTATCAAAATGCTGAAAGTAYCAAACCGAAAGCTTAAACTAGCACAACGCTAGCTAAAAGCATAATGTAACAAAATACTGGCTTCACTTAGCAGAAGTCCAGCTAAGAGACGGTGTAGRTGAAAGTAGCAAAAGGCTAGCTGAGAYCTGAAAGCAGGAAAGACTTCTTAAATGTATCAATATGCTAACAAAAAGCAAAATGAAGAAAAAGGCTAAAAGCTAAACAGAGTAAAATATGACCTAAAAGCCAAAAATTGCTAAGAAAACATCACCTTAAAGCCTGAAGTAACAAACGAGTAGCTAAAATTAGCTAAAGGCTGGCTAGGCGTAGCAAACAGAGCTAAAACCTAAAAGTAGCAGAAGACAGAATTAGCGCAGCTAGCGAAGCTAACAATGTTTTTGACAGCTCTCGATGTGTTTCAGGYCTGAATATTTTTTATTAAATAAAGCCACATTAAAGTTTCTTCAGCTGATTTTCAGTTCGTTAACGAGCTCACCTGTCTGTTCAGTCGTTCTTTAACGAACTTGGAGATTTTCTTCCTGGGGCCCAGCGGGACGCCCATCTCCTTCAGGTCGTCCACGGTGCACATGAGCTGGAAGGACAAAACGTTTGAGTGAATCGTAGCTTCGAAGGTGAGCGAGCGCTCAGCGAGGATCGGCTTACAAAGGATTCCAGGTCGATCTTCTCCTGGTCGAAAGTGCTTCTGTACTCAGAGAGGCCCAGGTGCTGCAGCACAGCAGCAAGGTCCTCAAAGTCCTCCTGGTCTTCTCTGAGGGCTTCGTCCACAGCTGGAGGAGCCTCCGACACAGAGGCCGCCGCCACCTGAAGCAAGAAGTTCTGTCAAACTGCAACAATTTTCAGCTTCAACACAGAAACAGAAAGGTGGCTAAAAGCTAAAACAAACTATAATAATCTATTATTCTCAGCTACTTATCTCCTTTATTTAAAGTTTTGTATAAAATACTGAAACATCAGTTTTGTTTTTTCATATTGTTCAAACTTTAAGGTGATTCTGTACGCTGAGTCAGCATTTACGCAAAAACTTCTGCAGCTGTTTTAGCTGTTCATGTATCAAAACTTGGACAGCCATTTGRTAATTTTAGCTTGTAGCCATCATTCTGCAACTACAACATTTAGCAAGTTTTAGCTTTAGGCTAATCTTTTACTACAACTTTAAGCTTCCCATTTGCTACTTTTGGCTTATGGCTAACATTTTAATCCTTTTAATTAGACTTTTTCTTTAAACGTAAGCTTTTTGCTAATTGTAGCTAACTCTTAGCAGCTTTGAGCTTAAACTAATCTTTTATTATAACTGGTAGCTATTCATCTGCTACTTTTAGCTAACATTTGAATGCTTGTAATTAGCATTTTTTACTTTTAACTTGAGCTTTTTGCTTATTGTAGCTAGCAATTAGCTTTAAAATAACTTGTTACTACATAAAATTTAGCTTACCATTAGCTACTTTTAGCTTTAAATAATTTTTTTCTGCTTTAACTGATAGCTATTCATTTGCTACTTTTAGCTTTTAGCTAACATTTTAATACTTTTAATTAGCTTTTTTTTTATTTAAACTTAAGCTCGTTGCTTATTGTAGCTAGCATTTAGCAAATTTTAGCTTTTTATTTACTTGGTACCACATAGATTTTTAATGTACTTTCATATCCTCTTTATTGTGTTTTTTTTATGTATATATGGACATTAATTCTGCCAATAAAGTTTGACTGATAAACTTTAGCTTACCATTAGCTAGTTTTAGCTTTAAACTATTTTTTTGCCACTTTAACTGGTAGCAAATCATTTATTTTTAACTTTTAGTTAACATTTTAAAACTTTAAACTAGATTTTTTCTTTTAAAATTTGTGCTTATATTTTTGCTACTTTTAGCCTTTATATTTGTGTTTAGCTACTTTTANTTTAAAACTTTAAACTAGATTTTTTCTTTTAAAATTTGTGCTTATATTTTTGCTACTTTTAGCCTTTATATTTGTGTTTAGCTACTTTTATTTAATAGCAGCTCTCGATGACAGARTGGTTAAAAAAATAGAAAGCTGATGATTAACTAGTGTTTTGCTAATTTTAGCTTCTGTTCTGCTTGTTTTGACATCTCAGTTTTAGCTTCTTATTTGCCTGAATTATCACAGAAGATGCAGCTGCGTGGACGCAGCGGACCGGACCTGTTTAACCTCTCCGTTAGCGAACGGCGTGGTCGGTACGATGGGCGCAGCAGAAGCCGTCTTCTGATTGGACAGCAGATCAAAGAGAATCAGCGATCCTGTCAGGAGACGAGAAAAGTTAAAAATAAACAATAAAGTCTAAACAGAAATAAAAGCTGTCTTTAACTTATTTTATGGTACCCAGGCTGTGCCCGGCCACAGAGATCCCTCCTCTGAAGTCCGGGTTCCTCTTCATGAAGAGGGCGTGGAGTCGGTTCATCTCCTGAGCCACCGTGTCCACGATGGTCTGACAGTAGGTGGGACTGTTGTAGAAGAGGACGTCCAGCAGCGTCTCGTTCGTAAAGTGACGCAAACGTCCGGTGCTGGGCAGCGTGATCTTCTTTATCCTCCTGAAAATACAAAAACCAGGAAGACTTCTGGGTCAGACGAAAGGGGCGGAGCTCCTGAAACATCTGAGTCTCACTTTCATTTCTGATTGGATTAAAAATTATTTCATTCAAAACCTGTGAAACTAAAGTCTGTGAGCTGATGAGTCCAGCTGAACAGTAGCTGAAGGCTAATGCTATCATAACAGTTGCTAGGAAAAAAAAGTTTCTAGAAAAAGTCCAGAATCAGACAAAAGTTACCTTCAAAAATAACATTAAAGTAACTGAAGCTAAAAGCTAAAACCAGAGCTAAAAATAAAACCAGCTACAAACTAAAACTAGTTAACAATGAGCCGAAATAAGAACAGCAGTAGCTGAAAGATTAAATTAGCAAAACAGTTGCTAAGCTTAAATTACTACACCAGGGCCTGAAAGTTTAAAATTATTTAAAACAGTAGTTAGAAGCTAAAATTAGCAAGACAGTAGCTGAAAGTGGAAAGTATCAAAACAGTAGCAGAAAGCTAAAATTAGTACAATTGAAAGCTAGAATTAGCAAACATTTGTTATTACCTTAAATTACTACAACAGTAGCTAAAAGCTAAAATTATAAAAACAATAGATAAAAGCTAAAATTAGCGGAACAATAGCTAAAAGCTAAAATTATTGAAAACAGTAGCTAAAAGCTAAAATTATTGAAAGCAGTAGCAAAAAGCTAAAATTAGCAAAATAATAGCTAAAAGATAAAATTATTGAAAACAGTAGCTAAAAGCAGAAAAATGGTAAAAGCTAAAAACAATGCAGGTCTGTTGAAATAGATTTTAAAAAACAAAGGTTTATCAGGTTCTGACGAGTTCTTGATTAGTTTTCATGAGGAACATTATTAATTAAATTATAAAAGCTAAAAATATGAAAAGTCGCAGCTGTAAGGTCCTGAACAAGCTGAAGGTTTTGCTGCTTGAAAAGCTTAAATAATTGAAAGTTTGCTGAAACAGCTAAAAACAGAAGAAATTATAAACAGGAAACGTTCKGTGTGAATCCTGACTCCGCCCACATCTGCTCACCTGTCCACGCCCGTGGCATCTCCGTGTAGCGCCGTGTGCCACTGGACAGGAAGGAACTCCACACGGCTGATGGCGTGGTCATCCAGAGCTTTCTTAAAGTGACTCCTCAGCAGCTTCAGGGACACGCTCCGAAAGTCGTCCACTAAGAGCAGAGCATACCGCGTTTACCTTCATCATCATCATCATCATCATCATCGACCCCAGCAGACTACACGCGTGTGAAACTCACCGCACTCGATCACGCTCCTGAACCTCAGGTCGCACACCGGACCGATCCCGTGAACCATGAAGACCAGGTGATCCACGGTGGCGAGCTCACCTGTGAGAGGAAACACGTTCAAACAGGAAGTGCTCAGAGTTCATGTTCAGGACGACTTTCAGCTACTGCCTCATCAAACTTCAGCTACTGCCTCATCAAACTTCAGCTACTGCCTCATCAAACTTCAGCTACTGCCTCATCAAACTTCAGCTACTGCCTCATCAAACTTCAGCTACTGCCTCATCAAACTTCAGCTACTGCCTCATCAAACTTCAGCTACATATCAGAGAATCCCTCGAGTTATTGACAGTTTTCTGTTTTTTAAGGTAAGTTAACAGAGACGGCCATCTTGAATCAGGTTATAGTTTCATTAAAACTCATCCAGTGTTTCATGATATTTTGCTAACAGAGAGGAGTGGTGTGTAACTTCCTGTAACATCATCTCACTTCCTGTTTTCTTTCAATCATTAGATCAGATTACAGATTAATGAGCACACAGGAAGCAGATTACCATCAGGCACTTCGTCYTGGTCGTCATCGATCCCTCTCTTCACCACCCGGGGCCGGGTCTGCCCATCCTGGGTCGTACCCCACTCGTCTGGAACCGAGGAGGGATGAAACTGGACTATGACCTGCAGGAACATTTATCTTTATTATTAAACAAACAAACAAATAAACAAAGATAAATAAACGATGGGACGGACCTTGGGATTGTGCATGACGATCGTTTCTCCTGACGGAAACTCCAGCCTCCGATGCCACTGATTGGTCGACACGGCTTTCTTATATTCTGCCTGAAGTTTGGCAGAAACACAAAATATTATTTGTTTGTTTTTTTCTGGGATGTTGTTAAGTCAACAACCAATAAACAAGTAAATAAATACAACACCAGGCCTGAAAAAGCTGAAACACAAAGCAGAACTGATTTTAAAGCGTTGGTTTTCTGAGCTGATGGAGTCACTAATGCACCCCTATACCATCAGAGAGGCTGGATTTAAAGCTGCGTGCCGATAACAGGCTGAAGAACAGGAGCTACATGTTACATCCAGAGGAGCAACAGGTAAAAACTAAAACTAGCAATGCAGTAGCTAAAAGCTAAAACGTTTAGAACATATGCTAAAAGCTAAAAGCAGAAAAAGAGTGGCTAGAAGCTAAATTTTGCCAAAAGGTAGAAAAGTGCTAAAATCAGATAAACAGTACCTGAAAATGAAAATTATAGTCACAGGAGCTAAAATTTTAAACCAGCTAAACAACAGCTAAAAACTAAAGATAGCAACAAATACATCTGCAAGCTAAAATAAACATAAGATATAAAACCAGAAAAATAGTAACTTGAAGCTAAAATAAGTTAAACAGTGGAAAAGAGCTAAAGTCAGACGAATAATGCCTAAAAACTAAACTCATATTAGCTAAATGCTAAAACCAGAGCTAAAAGGTAAAACCAGCAAAACACTACCTGAAAGAAAAACATATAATTAGTACAACAGCAGAAAGTTAAAATTAGTACAACAGTAGCTAAAAACTAACCTAGCAAAATGGCTGCAAGCTAAAATTAATGCAATTAACTGAAAGCTAGAAATAGCAAAACAGTTGCTATAAGCTTTAATTACAACAACAGTGGCTGAAAGCTAGAATCGTGAAAATAGTAGCTAAAAGCTAAAAATAGCAAGCCATAAGCTGAAAGCTAAATTTAATACAACACTGGCTGAAAGCTAAAACATCACAACAGTAGCTAAAAGCTAAAACCAGAAAAACAGTAACTAGAAGCTAAAATAAGCTAAACAGTGGGGAAAAAAAGCTAAAGTCAGACGAATTATGCCTAAAAACTAAACTCATATTAGCTAAATGCTAAAACCAGTGCTAAAGCGTAAAACCAACAAAGCTAAAAATTGCTGTAAGCTACAATTAGTACAACAGCAGAAAGCTAAAGTTAGTACAACAGTAGCTAAAAACTAAAACAAGCAAAATGGCTGCAAGCTAAAATTAATACAATTAACTGAAATCTAGAAATAGAAAAACAGTTGCTATAATCGTTAAAATAGTAGCTAAAACAAGTAGTTGAAATAAAGCCAGGAAAACAGCAGCTAGAAACTTAATACAACAAAATAGTAGCTAAAAGCTAAAAATAGCAAGCCATAAGCTGGAAGCTAAACATAATACAACACTAGCTGAAAGCTAAAGCTATCACAACAGTAGCTAAAAGCAGGAAACGGGTAAAAGCTACGTTGTAAATGTAAAAAGCTCAGGCCGAACCTCCAGCTTGTCGCTGAACTCCTCGGAGTACGGCACGAAGCGGCTGTCTGCGTCTCCTTTGTAGAACCAGGAGCAGCGCCGCACCTCCGTCGGCTCCTCCTCCCAGAACACGGCGCTGCGCGTGCGGTCGTAGAGCTGCACGTCGTAGCGCCCCCCGTCCGTCCGGACCATCACGCTCTCTGGATCCGGCTGAACTGGAACCAGAGGAGGAACATCCGTAGGGTCTCCCGGGAAAACGAGGCCAAACACAACAGGTGGAAACCGCTGTGGGAACTCACCTGAGTTGTACGTCTCCTCGAGCTTCAGCGAGTCGATGAAGCTGAAGGGAAGCCAGACGCTCTTGGACTCCACCTGTTTGCAGTAGAACCAGTGATGCTGCACCGGTTCGTAGACGTTAAACCCGTAGGGCATGGCGGGACCCGCGGGAACCACGGCTCCGGTGTTGGCTGTCGGCGCTGGAGAGGCTTGAAGATGAGTGAAGGGCGGCTGAAGATAAAAAATAACACAATGATGTGTTTTTACATTGTCGACACTTCCAGGTGTGACAAACATGGAGGRGTGTCTACCTTTGTGAACGCAGGTCCTGACGGCGGGAACGCCTGCGGCGGGGAGCTGAAGGAGRAGGGGACCTGCGGGGGCGTGTGCGTCGGCGGCAGCATCTCCGGAGCGGGGATGTAGGGGCTGGCTCTGCTGCTGGTGGGGGTGTGCCGGTACGGGTTGTGGCTCTGCGGCGGCATCTGGGGCGGCGGGGGGGTCATGGTGGCGGGGGGAGGGGTGCGACACCCCGCCGGTGTCGACTGGTAAACAGCGCTGCCGAAACCCTGAGGGGGCGGGGTCATCCGTGAGGCTGCAGACGGAGGAGGCGGGGCCATGGCGACGCTGTTGGGAACAGAAACGGGTCCGGCTGTTGTTGCTGTTTGGGCTGCGGGTAAAGATGGCGGCGGGCACGGCGACTGGCCGATGGACGCYAACGGGTCAGAGGTGCTGGCGTGGCTGGAGAAGTAGGCGAACGTGGAGGAGGCTGCTGGTCCGTTCCCAGACGTCTGACCCAGGAAACTGTCTTCTTCTCCAACATCTGTGGAGTCATCTGAGGGATGTGGAAATGAATGAAAACTTATTATTTTAAGCAATTTTAAAAGTTTAACTGTGATTAAAACTGTAAACAAGAAGACAGAGAAAGAATTTATACATTCTGATAAAAAATAGTGCAAAAATGCACAATAAATTATTGACAGGAAGAAGATAGAATTTATTAATGTCTAAAAATGCTTCATATTAGTCTCAAAAAGATGTGAAAATACAAAAGATTTACAAAAATGTTTTAAATTAAGTGCAATTAACACCAGGAGGATTTAAATGAAATGATTTTCAGTTTTTCTATCAATGACATCCTGTTTATTCCACGTCAGAACAGCTGACAGCTAAAAAACAGGCTTGCAGCTAGCTCAGTTAGCCTAGCATGCTAACGAACCGACTCCTGTTTTTAGGCATTTCCCTTCGTCTCACCTCCTGACAGCACCGTCGAACCGGAAGCTTGGCTCATCGGCATAAAAGGCAAYTTGAAATTAAACTCCGGCGCTGCGCTGAACAGTAAATTCGCGTTGGTGTTTGGAGCATTGTTGTTTCTTCTATCTGCCATTTTCCTCCAGAATTACACGTAACCACGACTGGAGAGAGGAGGTGCGCGGGTCAGTGCGTCCGAGAGGCGGAGTCTGAAGATCTGTAAAGCGCCTCGCGCGGCGGCCGCGATGTGAAGCAGCGGGACACATGATTTGTAGATCTGTTGAAATTCTGCAGGCCGTTCGGGTCTCAGCACTGCCGCCCAGCGATCAGGATGAACATCAAACTTTTCATTCATGTGTTTAAAACACGTTTTTTGATATAATACAGACATAATATATGTTTTAACCTGTTTTCACATTATAACTGAACATTTTTACAACTTCATGTCCTATCACAAAAACAGCTATATGAATAAAATACACCTGGTTTGTAGGTTTTCTTATGAAAGCGAGACTGATTTTATCAAATAGAAAAAAAATAACAGAGGTTTATAGTATCTATAAGTACATTTATTTCATTACAGTACTTAAGTAGTTTTTTGAGGATTTGTAATTGTACCAACTATTTTTTAAATAGCTCCTATAACTTCAATACATTTTAAAGCTTAAAAAATACACTTTTATTCCTTTACTTTAAAATATAACGCCTAGTTACTGTCACAAAATTAAATATGTTTAAACTCATCATGAAAGAAGATGTTTAGCTCTAAAAATGAAGTGTTGAATTTACTCAACAAAGTCAACTGGCTTCACTAAGTCGAGTAAACTGAGAAAAGAATATATTAGAAGATTTATGACTTAACTGGGACTTTTTGATCAAGTGCAAAGATTTAGACTGGTTAGTGATGGTTTCGATGTGGAGCCATGAGTCAGGTGTGTGTTGTGGGAAGGTGGTATTTTGATCAATTTACTCAACCTGGCTTAGTGAATTCAACAATTTATTTACTAGAGAGTGTGTAAAACTACTTTTACTTTTACTTTCCCTGTTTTTGTGAACAGTTTTATGACTTTTACTTAAGCAGTTTTCTCATCATTGAAATTTATTTTTACCAAAGTCATTTTCTGTTCATGTAATTTTACTTTTACTTATTTTTCTCAATTGCTTTATAGACCTCTGAAAAATAATGAATCAAACAAAATGCATATTTGCATTTTAAGCAGAATCTTAATGAAACATCACAAACTGATCTTGTTCGGTTGTTTTTAATGTCTCAACTTGTTTATCAAAAGACAAATAATTATTGTTTTCTGAGCATCTATGAARACATTTTAAGTCCTTAATGATTATTAAGTTGTAGAGCACAATTGTTGCCCTCTAGTTAATTATTAGAGTAATTTAACAACAGTACTCTGCAGAATAACTTCTCCGTTTCCGTTCTTTCTCTGACGCATGCGCACAGAACGCTTAATGATGGTGCGTTCTAGTTCATTTTGCGCAGTCGGTTTTTATAGTTCCCATTTATCTTGCTGTAGTTTCACATTCTTAAATGCACATGAACCGTATCGGCTTGCACTGTTAATGGTAGTTAGCTTTAAAAATGAAACATTTTGTAAATGCTAAACGTTTTCTGACCGGAAAAAGGAGCTGGAATAATCGCGTCTGACGTGATTCAGGTGGATTATCTAAATTTCATGGTAAATTGAAGGCTGCATTAAAATACAGTGTGCTTTGCGTTCTCGTCTGTGAATGCTTTCTCTTAAATGTCATAAAACATTGCTTACTTTTTTATATAATTATTATTTATGCTTTTTTTTTTAATTTAGTTTAGGTTTAGATGCAGCTCCGGTTTGTCCCGGTGTGAAAACCAAACGCACCACGCTCACTGCGCACCGATGACGCAAATTTCCCGCCCTCGTTTCTGCACTCCTCTCCACGGAGGAAACACGGAAAGTGGTGGATTGTCACGGATTTCACCGGCTCGATCTGTTGTAAGAACCTGACCGCTGTGATCCAGAGAGGATGCCTTCCACGCAGGACTGGATCAACGATCCTCTGGGTGTGGTTGAGGGGATGTTCGGTGAGAAGCACGGCTGCTGCGGCGCGTGGAGTTAGCTGTAGCTTTAGCTACTTCTGCCAACTGTGCACATGACATGTTGCTGCGCTGCTGTCTCACTTTAAAGTTACTTATTTATAAACAATCTGCAACAAATCTGCCTTTGCGTTTATACTGTTAAATCTAAAACTATTCCAGGTTTAAACTGTTGCTCAAAGTGTTTAAAAAATCAGTCAAGACTTGAAAACAAGTTTTAAATATTATAATTTAAATGAAACAAACATAAAAAAAATGTAGTTTAAAGTCTCCAAAGTTTTTTACATCACGGATTAATTTCTCACAAGATAATTTTCCCAATAAATGATTGCGAGAAAAGTTTGTTTTTAACTCATTTTAGCTCGTATTAGCTTGTAGCTATGCTACGTGAAAACCTTTAAAAACTACAATTTTCTGCTAAAAAACTTTTAAATCAGCTCTGAGCAACAAATAAACTTTACTGACTTTTATTAAAGCTACTGAAACCYAAGTGTTAAAAGTTTAAACGATCAGAACACAAACTAAAATGACCAAAACAAAAGCTAAAAGCTCACATTAGCAAAACAGCAGCTAAAAGCTAATATTTGCATATTGTCAGCTAGAAGTTAAAATTGACAGTATAGTAGGTTAACACTAAATATGATATAACCAGCAAAATTGTAGTTAAAATATAAAAATAACAGTAGCTAAAAGCTAAGACAAGCAGAATAGTAGTTTTATAAAGTAGCAAAAGAGCATATAGAAGCTAAAAATGTTCAAAACAGTAGCCGACAGCTGAAGTTATTCAAACAGAAACTCCCAAGTTGGAGTTCAAACGAACGATAGCTAAACAGTTGCTTAAGGTTAAATAGACAATAGTAGCTAAATGCTAAAATCAGCCAAARGTAATGTTTGAACCAGTTAAAAGGTAAAAACTAAAATTAAAATGGTAGCTAAGTGCTAAACCCAACAGAGTAGTAGCTTAAAAACTAAATTCAACAAAATGGAAGAATCCAAAATAAGAAAAACAGTAGCCGAAAGCTAAGATTGTCAAAAAAATAGGAACAACTTATAATTAGCTAAAAGCTAAAACCAACTGAATAGTAGCTAAAAACTATYTTGTGTTAAATCAAATATGCTCAAATAAGCAAAACAGTAGCTGAAAGCTACCAGAAKAGGAGCTACAAGCTAGAATAAGCATAATAGTAGCTAATTGTGAAAATAAGCCAAACAGTAGCTAAAATAGTAGCATTTTCAAAGTGAGCTGAAGTCTTGACTCGGTGGTTTAAAGTCTTTATTTTATATTTTAGCTGCTGCTCAGAACAACCGGACCACAGGATGGGAGGCGAAGGTAGTGGAGTTCTTCAAAGAGCAGCTAAAGGAGGACACTCAGACCACGGTGACGTGTCTTCTGTCCTCGTGTCTTCCACGTGTCTTCCACGTGTCCTCGTGTCTTCCACGTGTCTTCCACGTGTCCTCGTGTCTTCCACGTGTCCTCGTGTCTTCCACGTGTCTTCCACGTGTCCTTGTGTCTTCCACGTGTCCTCGTGTCTTCCACGTGTCCTCGTGTCTTCCACATGTCCTCGTGTCTTCCACGTGTCCTCGTGTCTTCCACGTATCTCGCTCTGTGTTGTGACGGCCGTCTCTTTGTCCGGACGCAGGTCCCGTCCCTGAACGATGTCCCCCTTCACTACCTGAAGCCCAACGGTCTGGTGAAGTTCCGCTGTTTGATCCAGGACATGTTCGATCCTGAGTTCTACATGGGGGTCTACGAGACCATCGACCCGTCCACCAACGCCAAGGTYCGATTTAAAGATGGACGCCGGCGTCAAAAAAAGGCTCAAACTCAAAACAGTTTTACAGATATGGAGCTTAAATTTGGCGTGGTAGTAGCTGAGAGTGGTCCTCAGCACCGGGTCAGAGCGGTTTGAGTTAACTTCCTGTCTGCCTCTCCTCAGACTCTGCGCTGTGGGCGTTACAGAGATGTGACAGAATGTGCCGTAAGTTCTCCTCCCATCAGATTTTCTTCAGCTTCTTCATAAAACCTCAACAAAATCCCTTTTTCCTTAACTCCAGGTGGACTTTAACTCCAGAAACATGGTGACGGCAGAGAGGCAGACCTTCTACTGTGTCCCAGTCCCTGGAGAGAACCCGTGGGTCAAAGAAATATCCTTCTGGGACAAAGGCTCAAACAGGTCCTTGGCCACGGTAATTTAGGACCTGTACTTTGTAGTTTCCTTAACCCTGCTCCACATGTACGCCGGCTCCAGCCAGGCTCGGGTCGTCCCGTCCACCTCCTACGTCCCCAGCAGACAGAAACGGAGCTACGAGGAGGAGGAGGAGGACGAGGACATGGACGTCCAGCCGCAGAAGCAGAGAGAAGGACACGCCGGTACGATCGCAGAGTTTTCTTTGACCGAAACAGGAAACGATTCTGGATCAAATCTTGGGATTTTTGTTCGTCTCAGGTTGTCAGAGTCCGMCTGAACAGCACGGTAACGGTGACTGTAAGCGTCAAGAGACAGAGGCTCCGTCCAGCCAGACGTCCTCGACCTCCCATCTGGACCTCAACTTCCCGCTGCCTGGAGAGAAGGGCCCYTCCTGTCTGGTTAAGGTTCGACATCGTGTCCTGCACCTCCTTTACCTGTACTGATGAGTTTACTGCTGGCGTTCTAGTGAGACAGTTCCCAAACTAATCTCAGTTCTGTTATGAGTGTCTCAAACTAATCTCAGTTCTGTTACAAGTGTCTCAAACTGATCTCAGTTTTGTTACAAGTGTCTCAAACTAATCTCAGTTCTGTTACAAGTGTCCCAAATTAATCTCAGTTTTGTTACAAGTGTCTCAAACTGATCTCAGTTTTGTTACAAGTGTCTCAAACTAATCAGTTCTTTTACAAGTGTCTCAAACTAATCTCAGTTTTGTTACAAGTGTCCCAAACTAATCTCAGTTTTGTTGCGTCTCAAACTAATCTCAGTTTTGTTGCAAGTGTCTCAAACTAATCTCAGTTTTGTTGCAAGTGTCTCAAACTAATCTCAGTTTTGTTGCAAGTGTCTCAAACTACTCTCAGTTTTGCTACATGTGTCTCAAACTAATCTGTTTTGTTACAAGTGTCTCAAACTAATCTCAGTTTTGTTACAAGTGTCCCAAACTAATCTGTTTTGTTACAAGTGTCTCAAACTAATCTCAGTTATGTTACGTGTGTRTCAAACTAATCTCAYTTTTGTTACYWGTGTCTCAAACTAATCTCAYTTTTGTTACAAGTGTCTCAAACTAATCTCAGTTATGTTACGTGTGTCTCAAACTAATCTCAGTTATGTTATGTGTGTCTCAAACTAATCTCAATTTTGTTACAAGTGTCTCAAACTTGTCTCAAACTCGTCTTCAACTTGTCCCGACTGTTTTTCCTTCAGGAGTTTTTTTTTTTCAGTCATTTGAGACATTCATGTTGTTGAGCAGGTCTACGAGGACTGGGACAGCTTCAAGCTGAACGACACGTTGGAGGTCTACGGGATCCTGTCKGTCAGTCCGGCTCTCAGCGGGCTGAGTGATGAGAAGTAAGACCCACTCGTACAGGTGGTGAAGTACTTCCTGTTTACTTCCTGTTTGGTCCTGATCGTCGGCCTCTCTGCAGAGACCCCCTCCTGGACCCGGCGGAGAGCATGGAGACAGCGGAGGAGCAGAGGGTCCACAGCCCGCCGGCCTCCCTGGTCCCTCGCCTCCACATGGTCTACGCCAGACCTCTGRCTCACAACAACCCGCTGCTGCCGTGCGCCAGCCTGCAGGACGACTGTGAGCAGCGCCGCTCAGACCCTGCTGTTGYRGCGTTTCCTTTTTAACTCTGTTTCCTCCTCAGTTCTGAGCTCGACGCTGAGTGAGATGGCCTCCGTCAGGGAGGAGCTGCACGCCTACTTGACCCGAGTCCTCCTGGGTGACGCTGTGGCTGCAGAGTACCTCATCCTGAACCTCATCTCTAACGTGTAGGTCGTGTTTACGTGAACGTTTGTTGTTGAAGCAGAAACTGGAGGTTTTCACCCACCGTTTTGTTTTGTAGTTACGCCCGACGGGACGTCCTCCCGCTCGGTAAGTTCACCGTCAACCTGAGCGGCTGTCCTGGCGTCGCCTCGTACACCGAGCGCCTCTACCAGATCCTGCAGCAGCTGGTGTCTTCTGTGAGTCCAGGTCTTCACAGCTTCACACTGTTGATCGTTGTTTCTTCTGCTCGCTTTTCAGCATCTAACTCCTTCCACAATTTTTGTGCTATTTCAACAATTCATACGTGAAAACGTTCAGCTATTTATGACAATCCTGCTATGACTTAAAAATAAAAGTAAAAATACCCTTTCAGGTATTTTTACTTTTTCAGATATTTCAKTTTTTAGCCTTTTAAAATGAATGGATCTGTTCTCAACATCCTTAAAATCCTTTAAAATGTTTCTAAATCTTTACAGCACCTTACACATTTTATTCTGCTTGTGCTCTTTTTAACGTCCTTGTGCTAATTTTAGCTTTTTTCTGCTATTTCAGCTAAAATTCAGATTCTCTCTGCTCTTAATCTCATTTTTGTGCTTTTTTCTGTTAATTTGTGCCAGTTCTGCTTCTTACAGGTGCCTTCTGCTATATTCATCTATTTGCTGCAACTTTAGCTTATTTTCAGCTGTTATTAGCTAAAGCTAGCTTTTTAAGCTAAATACACATTTTTTGTAGCTATTATAATATTTTCTGCTAAGTTCAGCAAATTTGGGCTCATTAGGCTAATTAAAGAATTTGCAGCTACTCTTTAGCTGTTTTACTGAAAATTTTGGCTGTTGTAGATATACAAATTTTTGTACTTATGCATTTTATTTCTGCCAATTAGAATTTTTTTTACAACACTTTCACTATTTGGTTGCTTATTACAACTTGTGGCTGCTACCTTTAGCTTTTTATGCTAATTTTAGCTTTAGATCTGATTCTTTTTGCTATTCTTTAGTTTTTTTCTACTGTTTGTGCTTTTTTTTTTGCGAATTTGTGCTATTTATGCTTCTTAGATTTTTTCTGCTATATTCAGCTATTTTAGCAGTTTTCTGCTTTTTCAACAGTTTTTMCTCCGTTTTACTGTTTTTCTGCTAAGTTAGTCTTGTTTTGCTTCTTTCAACTCTTCAAATTTGAACTCACTTAAATATTTTTAGCTCACTTTCAGCTTAAGTGTTCAGTAAGAAGCATTCACACTAACATTTTTGCAGGAAATGAAATTTCTTTAGTTTTTAASTATTTCCTATCTGGACTCTGTTCTAACGTGTGTTTTTGCAGTCTTACTACCTGGGCATGAGCCTGCACAACATGAACCAGATGCGGCTGGTGCCCAAGAAGGACTACGTGGCGAACCGGCTGGTGAGCGGAGCTCTGCAGCTGGACAAGAACACCGCTCTGTTCCTGGACGAGACCCGGCTGGAGCAGGGACAGCTGGACTCCACGGGTGAGGCTGGAACGCTCCAGCAGAGGGCGCCGRGGCGCCACGCTTCAGACGCTGATGGTTGGTTTGTGTGCCGCAGGTGTGCGTAACGTCACGGCCCTGGGGAACCTGATCTCGTGGCAGAAGGTTGATTATGACTTCAACTACCATCAGATGGAGTTCCCCTGCAACGTCAACGTCCTGGTGGTGTCGGAGGGACGCTCGCTGCTGCCGGTGAGAGACCGGCTGCGGGTCTCAGGGTTGGGTTTCTGTCGGCGTCGGGTCGGGCTGACGCCTCGGCTGCGATTGGTCGACAACTTCGTCCCACGGCTTCAGCTGGCGTGTCGCTCGGGTGCGAAGCGGCCGAGGAATGTGCCGTGTGCTATTCCTGGCAGCTGCTGTCATGAGTTGCCATGGAGGCAGCTGCGAGGTGGGCCGTCCTCCAGTCCTCAGGAGACTGAAGAGCCGCAGTGACTCCTGCAGGAGTCAGAAACTCAGCGTGGCACCTCGGAGCAGCTGGAGGCTCCTGGTTCCAACCTAAAGTCTCGTCCAGCCGTTCCACAGTGTCATCATGTTTTCACATCGCACAGTGTCATCATGTTTTCACATCGCACAGTGACATCATCATGTTTTCACATCGCACAGTAACATCATCATGTTTTCACGTCCAGCCGTCTCAGTGACTTCATCATGTTTTCATATCGCACAGTGACTTCATCATGTTTTCACGTCCAGCCGTCTCACAGTGACGTCATCAGGTTTTCACGTCCAGCCGTCTCAGTGACGTCATCAGGTTTTCACGTCCAGACGTCTCATGATTCCATCAAATGAAACTTCCTGAACTCGAGTCGTGTTTTCCTTCTGCAGCCCGTCCAAACATGACCTTTGACCTTTACCCTGCTATCTGAGGCCCGTAGAGTTGGAGCTCAGTTCTCTGATATTTGTACGGTCCGACCTTCGGGGTGAATCTGCCGGAACATCCACCTTCTTCTCCTTTGTCTCCGCAGTCCGACTGTCGCGTCCACCTGCWGCCTCAGGTGGCTCCGTTCACCGTGGAGGAGTACGCCAGCAGCATCCAGGTCCAGCCGCAGGCCTCGGCCCAGCTCAACAAGTTCCGGGTCTACCTGAGCGCGGCCCGCCTGCTGGACTACAGCATCTCTGATGAGGTGACGAAGGTGAGACTTCCTGTTCAGAGACGCTAACCGGAGCTGCTGTCAGCTGGGTAACGGTCTGCTCGTCTCTTCGTCTCCTCAGGCCGTTGAAGAGGACTTTGTGGACATGAGGAAGGACGACCCTCAGAGCATCTCTGCCGAGGACCTCCACAGGATGCTTGTCGTGTCCAGGTGGGCTGAACTCACACCTTCGGCTCTTAGGAGCCGAAGGTTAATAAGTTTTATTAAAGTTATTTAAATGGAGCAGCTTCCTGTGGAAACGTTAATAACTAAAGAATACATTTTCTGTGAAAACAAAGTGAACGCTGAGAGCTGAAGAAGCAAAATGCTAGCTGAAAGCTACATGTAGCAAAACTCCAACTAGATGCTAAAAGTAGCAAAACAAGTAAATGTAGTCAAAACCTCAAGGCTGAAAAGCTAGCTGAAAGCTGGGAGTAGCAAAACAAGAGCTAAAAGTAAAAATTGGCAAAAGCGATAAAGGCTATGTGAAGGCTAAAGGTGAAAACAGGCGAGCTAAAAGCTAGCTACTGGGAGCAAAACTCTCACTAGAAGCTAAAAATTATCAAGCTAACTGGAAGCAAATAACTAAAACCTAAAGGTAAAACAAGTGTAAGAAGCAAAAACCTCGCTGACTAGAAGCTTTAATAGCTAAAGGCTAGCTGAAAGCTGGGAGTAGCATAATGGGAGCTAAAAGTAAAAAAAATGCTGGCTAAATGCTCTAAGTAGCAGAAGACAAGCTGAAAGTTAAAATGGCTAAGAAGCAAAAGGCTGGCTAGAAGCTGCTGTAGATAAAAAGCTASCRACTGGAAGAAAAACASTAGCTAGAAGCTAAAAGCAGCAAAAACTAGGCTGAAAGTGTAAAGACAGACTAGAAGCTATAGTAGCAAAAGGCTAGCTGAAAACTGAGAGTAGCAAAATAATAGCTAAAAGTAAAAAAGGGTGGCTAAATGCTAAGTAGATCAGCTAAAAGGGCTATTTGAAGGCTAAAAGTAGCAAAAGGTTGACCAGAAGCTGCTGTGGCTAAAGACTAGCTAAAAGAAATCTGACACTAGCTAAAAACAAAACAAAAAATTGTAAAACACTAGCTAAAAGTCGAAGTAGCAAAAGGCTAGCTAGAAGTAGCTGAACAGGAGCTATAAATGTTTTAAATTTTAGAACTCTGATCGTTTTAGCGTTGGTCCTGTTGGACGTAAATATTATTTAAAATATTAAATACTCATTAAACTTTTCCATTAAATCTCAGCTTCAAACAGCCGAAGATCAAATGAATCAGCAGAGTTTTTGTAAAAGATGAAGTCGTCTTTAGTAAAGGCTTTAAAACATTTAAATCTATGGGTTAATAGCATTAGCTTTCCTGTTGTGTTTTCAATGTTAAGTTAGCATCTATGCTAGTTGTTGTGATTGTTTGGGGTTTTTGAACATAAGTTATTGTGCTTGTTAGATATAAAAACATATAAATCAGAATTTGTGTAAATTAAACTTCAGGTTTGAAGTTTAAATGAAATGAATCGAAACAGGAAGTGCCCTCGTCTGTCCACAGGTTGTTGTCTCTCAGTCTGGGACAGACGTCTCTGTCCAGAGACACCTGGCTTCGAGCCAAACACCTGGAGACGCTGCGGAGGAGTCGGCTGGAGCAGCACAGGAGCGTCAACGGCAACGAGCCGTGAGCCGAGACGGACGGACGAGTTTTCCTTTTGATAAAACTCTTTGTAATAAACGTTTTTCATGTGTCCTTATTTTCACCTTTTTGTATATTATATGTAACATCTGAATGATTGTCCTTTTCTATTAAACTTAAAAGTATTTTTGCTGCAGAACAAACACTTTTTGGTACATTTTTATCTAGAGTTTTACGATTTAACGTGCTGCTGGTTTATTCCTGCGGAATATTTCAAGACAAAAACTGTAAAATGCACTTTTTATTAAACACACCCAAAGGAGATAATAAATAGGATACTTTAGTATACAATACACTGGAAAACGAGGACAACAGTCAGTTGGAGGAGGTGGATGTGACTACATGAGAACGCCGGTGCTGGGAGGAGAAAAATGTGCTTTTACAGTGCAAATAAAACGCTTGAACACATCGTCACACCGAGCCTCCTGAGGTGGAGGACAAAGAAAAGACATCCAGCAAATAAGATCAAACCACTGACGCTGTTAGAAACAAAAACACCAGGAATGCTGATAAAACCTGTTAGAGAACTGCTCCAGTGTTTACAAACCTGAACGGAGATTCAAATAAAACGAAAATTCAAAACTAAAATCTTAAGATAACCTGGTAAATAAAATTATTCAACCTAATATGAGTGGAGAAAACAAACAGGAAACGATTGAACTTTTATCTTGGGATATTTCAGCTCAAAGCAAACAAACACTATAAATAATAAACAATAAAACATGGACATGGTTCGTAATAATTTTGATTATTCAGCCTCTGACAGTAACAATTTCCTGGCGTTAAACAGCAAAGGTTCATTAAAACCTCATTTCTTGAGGTTAATAAAAATAAAACAGCAACAAATTGTTCTACAGTAATATTTCCTAAATCCCAGCAGCAGAAAGGAAGTTCTGACACATAATGTACCGTACAATCACGTCTAATTCCTGCTCATTTCCACAAATAAACGAAATATCCCAAGACAAATCATTAKGCAACAACCCTGAACTGTACAGTACACCAAATGTAACAGTGGACTAAAAAAAGGTAGATTTTTAGAAGTAATACCACTTCCCTGTTAAGGCAAATATACTTTCAGTTTTGGGGGAGTGCATAAATAAAAGCCTCTGTTCCTGAAACGGGTGAGTTGCATATATGCTAACTATATGCTACACTCGGGTTACTGGTCCAACATGCAGTACAAAACCAGCCATGGATTTAAACAAATCCCACATATAAAAACAGCAGAACCGAACAGTTAAAGTCACTATAATCCAGCCTGTAGCCCTGCGTTCTCTACGATATACAACGTTCAGAAATGCAAAAAGCTGAAGGGAAACGCTCAGGAACACATGAACGATACTCACTGTACATATTGACAACTAGGATACTCTGAAGGTGGTATCGCACAGGGCTGAGGCTGTCGGTGAACAGCGTTCACAAGAGAGTCTCCAGAATGTCTCAAGACCTGGATGGAGGGGTTTAAGATTCTGCAACTTGTGAGAAATTTAGACTGGTTTGAATTTTAAAAAATATTCAGGAAATTTATGCAACTAAATTTCTTACAATAGTTGCAGTCGTCACAGGTGTCTGAAAACCTAAGTTCTGTGGGTCCTATAGCCTTTTCCTKTGTCTTAATTTCATTATAAAAGTCTCCAAATTGTCTCAAATTGATCTCAATTTTATTACGTGTCTAACTCGTCTCAAACCCATCAACTTTGTCACAAGTATCGCAAACTTGTCTTAAACCTATCCCAATTTTGTTACAAGTGTCTCTAAGTCGTCTCAAACCCATCTCAATTTTGTCACAAGTGTCTCCAACTCGTCTCAAACACATCTCAATTTTGTTACGAGTGTCTCAAACTCGTCTTAAACCCATCTCAATTGTGTTACGAGCGTCTAACTCGTCTCAAACCCATCAATTTTGTCACAAGTGTCACAAACTTGTCTTAAACCCATCCCAATTTTGTTAAAAGTGTCTCCAACTCGTCGCAAACACATCTCAATTTTGTTACGAGTGTCTCAAACTCATCTTAAACCCATCTCAATTTTGTTACAAGTGTCTCTAACTCGTCTCAAACCCATCAACTTTGTCACAAGTGTCTCTAACTTGTCTTAAACCCATCCCAATTTTATTATGTGTCTTCAACTCGTCTCAAACCTCATTTTTGTCACAAGTGTCTCTAAGTCATCTCCAACCCAGTTCATCAAAATGCTACCTCATGGCCTGAGTCTCCAACAGTCAGAGCCCAGTGGGACACTACCTTAACTAAGTTCTGACATGGTCCATATCTGTTWAACGGTATATTATCTAAAACACTCATATTCTCTAAAATATCTATGTACAGCAGGTCTTCTCGCTGGTTTGGGACGATGACACACTGATCTGTCCTTTGGGATTCACAGAAAGGTATTTGGTCAATTGTTACAAGTGATTCGACAAACTGAGGTCTAATGTACAGGAGTGCTGCAAATACAGGAGGAGATAAAGTACATAATTAGCTAACCAGCTAACCACAAACGCCAAGCATTGTGGGTATTTCTGTGTAACGACAGTGACGTGTTAACATAAACAAAAAACTCTTTGGGAGCACTTTCAGAATGTAATAAAAATCTATATATTCTATAACTATATATAATCTATAACTCTTAGTTATCTGCCTCTTAAGATAATTCCAAAGAGAAATGGAGTCATTTACTTCAACAGTAAAAGTATTTATGAGGAGATTTATGATTAGGATGGAACACCATCCTAATCCTGTAACGTAGAGATTACTGACAGTTACCCCCTGAAAATTAACCCAATTCAACTCTAATGACCATAAGAGTCACATGTTCAAAGATATCCATCTGTTTTCTAAACCTGCTCTGTCCTATTTAGGGTCATCATTCCACAATATTCCTAATGTCCTACAAAAATATCAGGTTTCATGATTTTAATTTCCACTGAGAGGCACGTCTGATCAGCAAACCATGAAACAGAACAAATAAATGGTGTGCAAGTCTGCATGGCAAAGAAAATAAATCAATGCTTTTAAAAACMAACAAAAAGTCCATAATGTGCATGTAAACAGTCCGTGTTGGGTTTCTGGGACAGATCTGTCACTTTTCTACAGTCTGTTAAAAGTGTGAACGTTGCTTTAGGGGCAAATCTAAGCGCGTGTATTTGGCCTAATAATGACACTGTGCAAGCTTCCGCTGATGCTACCGTTTAATAAGTGTCTCGATGACGAACGGCTATAAAAATCCTGCTACGAGAAAAGCTCTAGATCTGAATGATTCTCGTCTGGCACTGCGTGAACATTGCCTTCAGCTCGTTTTCCTGAGCCTCGTTGARGGCCTCCGGCTCGGGGCTCTTCTGTACCTTTGCGACGGCGTAGTTGATGCCCTGGGTGAGTCCGGCCTGGGTCAGGCTGGCCACCTGGACCATGGAGCTCTTGATCTTGGCGAAGGGGGACACCGCTCGGCTGCCGTTGCTGTCGGCAGGCGAAGGCCCAAGGCTGCCTTCCATCTGAGAGCCCAGACTCCTCTGGGAGCCTCCTGAGACCGTGGAGCTGGGCTTCTGGACGGAGAGGAGGTTGGAACCGGAGGTAGAGGTTTGGATGTCCAGGTGGGACGGCCTGGGGAGCTGTGGCTCCTCATACTGACTCTGCGGCTCCGAGTTGAGCTGCTTGCCGGAGTCCGCCYGGGTCTTCTGCACAGGCACGGCAGGGTTGTGTGGCAGCTGCTCGCCGAAGACCTCAACGGGTTTGGTCTGCGCGTCCTGGATGAACTGGTGGCAGTAGGCATCAATGGGAGTGCCAAAGTCGATAAGAAGAGCTTCTTCTGCAACCGAAGCAGACCCAGGTGATGCGTCACTCACTTGAGACAATTTTTCCTGTATTTCTCCGCAGCCGGTAATCCGGATCACAGAAGGAATGTTTAGCTCTGCGCTACCGATGGACTGAGAGCGGCTCCCCAAACGTGGGTTTGATGCTACAATGCCACAGCTAGGTAGAACGTAGTCCGCTTTGTCAAAGGAACCAGCGCAGGGATGCTCGGGGTCTGAATTATAGGAGTCAGAGTCTGAGGAGTTCTCGTAACGCTCGTCTCCCATGTCCTTTAGGACCCCCGTGACGGGGTTGTTATCTGACGTCTCCAGGCTGCTGTCAGACTTCCACAGGTTGACGTGCATAGTTGGTTTGAGGAAACTCACGGTCACGTCAGGCTTGGAGAAGTTCCCCAGCTTACCAAGTGGTTTAAAGGGACCGATGTTGACGTTTGTCCTGGTCTGTTTTACCTTCTGGTTCAGAGAGGAGAATTTGTTCAGGAGGAAACTTTTGCCCTGTGCCAGACCGGAGCTTCCCTGAACCTGGTCTGAAGGTTTGTTCTGGATCCCCATGATGTCCTCATGTGGCTTGCTCTGCCGCCTGGAACACGAAAACAGTGAGCAACAGCTTAAAAAGGAACACAATGGCACAATGTTAGCCAAAATATAAAAGTAGCAATATGTTAACTGCAATGTGAAAGTATCAAAATGTTACATAAATGCAGCAAAACATTAAAACCAATAAAAAGCTAGCTAAACATACCAATTAACTAACTAAAAAGGGGCAAATGCTAGTAAAAATATAAAATACGCTAACTGTAATGTGAAAGTACCAAAATGCTAACTACAATTAGCCTTTTACTAAAAGCTCCAGCCAGAACATCCTGAATGAGCTGAACCTTTTTACAGCTGAAGGGTGACACAGTACAAAGTATAGAGACTTAGAAAAACAATAAAGAGAAACAGGATCAGCTGTACTCGCCTCTCCAGCTTCTTCTCTACCACCAGCAGGTCGAGCCCCGTGGCCTGTTTAGTTATACGGAGCATTTCGGCTATGCATTGTAGTGTATCTGAAATAAATCATAAGCCAAGTGTTAATCTGTATGTTTTTTAATTGATGTATTCGTTAAGATAAAAACAAGATTCCACCTTTCCCATCATCCTCGGGGTTTCGTGTCGCTGCTCTCAGGGTGTGGAAGTACCCGCTCGTTTCTTCGTTCCTGTAGTGCAGACGCATGCAGCAGAACTTCGGCTTCCCGAACAACGTGGGCTCTGGGCCTGCAGGAGGAAACGTAACCTTTAATATCGTTGTTTTTTAAGACTTTTTGCATGAATCAGAAGCAGTGAGGCTTGTTTTGCTGAAAGGTTACTGCGAACATGTAAATACACAGAGAGGAAGTGTCGGTGACTAAGTGAGTTCACAAGAACTTCCTCTCACCGATTTCAATCTTTTCTAAACCTTCCAAGTTGAGACGTTGGTATTGGTTGACTTTATCCGCCTCTTCATCGTAGCTGAAACAAACAAACATTAAAACAATCAATCCACAGGGTTCCTGCAGGTTTCAGTACGTTAAATTTAAGACCTTTTAAGACCATTAGGAATGACATTTAAGACCAAATTGATGCATTAACAGAAACATTCAAATGGTCACAGAAAGTTTAACATAGAAATCTTTTATTGCTATCAATTATTAGATTATTAAAGGATATTTAATTTTAATACAAGAACACTAAATTATTTTTAATCAACAGTCATATCCATGAGATCTTTATATCGACTGCTGTGGACCACTTCCAACCGAGTGCAAAAATCACTGATAAAGTCAAGTTTCATTGAAAACACTTTTCCATTTTTAAACAACAAGCAGAGGACATGACTGAACTTCTGTTTTTTGGGCAGGTAAATAAGCTGCTGTATGCGGGGAGTTGTGGCAGCAAAGAGGTCAAAAACATGGAAGTAAACTGTGCCGTTTTTTGCCTGCAGGTATCAGGATTTGTAGTTGAACAACGTACCATGACCGATAGGAAACTTAGTACTTTATGAAGACAGACTGCACCAACCTCTGATTACAACGCTTTAAGGGCTCGACACACGGGAGGCGACGTCGCTCYCTCTCCATTCATTTCCTATGGAGCCTGTGCGGTGAGGCGACAATCYCTRYCCCTCCTCCAGCTAAGCGACCGGTGAAAATAGTGCATGTGAAATTTCYCGCTCGTACACGTAGACGTGCACACGCGAGCTTGCGACGCGACATATGAAAGTTGAAAAATGTTCAACTTTTGTCGCTGTCGCTTAGCGTACAACCAATCAGCGAGGGTTTCATTGYCTGACCAATGAGAGGAGAGTATGCTACACACTGCAGTTAGCTAACACTTTCACCAAGTGATTACTAAAAAGCTTTGTGGGAATTTYTTGGCACCAGGGTGAAGTTTATGGTAAGTTTTTCCTCATAAAATTGTATCTTGATGTGTTTGTTTTTCAGTATCATTAGCATCGCAAGATTTGTTTAGTTTACACGTCCGTAATGCACACCCGCCTTCAGAGTCAAGAACCAATCAAATTTTGTGAAGACAAGCGATCTGAGAGCGCGATTCGCAACGCTGCGATCGCTATCGTATCCCGTGTGTCGGGTTTCACCCTGGCTGTGATGACAGCCGTTAATAGCTGTAGTTTGTCGCTGCCCGTGTGTCGAGCCCTTCACTCTGTTTATTTATGCAGCCAACACTTCTCAGGCCTTGGATGAAAATCTGGGCGTTTTTAAGACTTTTTAGGCCTAAAATTTTGATTTCAAATTTTAGACGTGTTTAGACTTTAAGAGCTGCATGAACCCTGAATCCATGAAAAATGTTTTAATTAAAGGAGAAGAAATGAGCGACTCACTAAGCGATGTAATAAGCTTTGTCTGACAGGAGCAGCAGCACGTCCACGTCTTTGTTGGATGCATCGACGAGGCTGCAGGAAAGTAAAGACGTTAGGTTKCAAATCAGAAACAGGAAGTGGAAGAAGTCCACCGGGCGGCGCTGACCTCATGTCACAGTTGATGAGGGCCCAGCCTCCGTGGAACTTCTCGTCGTCCGGCAGCAGCAGCTGCATGTAGGTCTGCAGCAGGAGGCTGACCTGCTCCTGCGCTCCTCTCTGGCTCTCCTTCTCCTTCTCCTCGTGCTCCGTCTCCTTGCTGAAGATGGAGTACAGGTCCTCGGTCACCGGCAGCCCCATCATGAGATCTGTGGAGACGCAGAGGTTAGCGCGGCCCGTCGGACCCGCGGACCGGGCCGTAACGCTCCTGACGTACCGATGACCGCCTGCCTGTAGGCGTCTCGGAAGCGGTTCAGGTAGTAGCGGTTGGCGGAGTTCACGCCGTCCTTCATCACACCAGCCAGCTTCCTCTCTCCTGTTCGTGTGAAGTCTCCCTGAAGCAGAACGAGCTGCGATTAGTGAAAACTCTCATCTCACTTTWAAAAAAAACTTTTAAATATACAGCGTTCCTACAGTTTAAAGAAAGTTAAATTTAAGACTTTTTTAGATGTTTTAATGCCAAGTGAAATTAAATTTAAGACCTATGTCATAATAAACCCAAATGACAAAAAAATAAATAAAAGCTGCGGCAGAAACTCATGAATCAAAGTATTTTTGGTTGAAGTATTCAAATATTTCTAATAGACCAATTGTTTTTATCCATATCTAACTATAGCAGAAACATTCTTAGCAGTCAGTTTTAAACTTAATTTAATTTCAGGAAATCCTCTGACAACCCAACATTTGGAGTTTTAGAACCCACAGTCGGGTTTCAACCCTAATTTTCTGTAGATGAAACCTTAAYGCGCCTGTGACATCACGTTTTTATAAGAAAAGTGAATGCATTTTTAGAAAGACAACATTATTAACATATTACAAAACAAATGTCACGTTGCTCAGATGGACAGTTGAGATATTTGCATGTGAAAATACAGGAAGTGATGTCAAAGAGGAATGTCTGAATGTGAATATTAAAAAAATTAATGTAACRAATTATTTTAATATTTGAGATGAATTACAATCATCCTAACATTTTAAGACTTCTCAAAGATTGATTTAAGACATTTTAAGGATAATTGAGGCCTTATTTTTGGATTGCTGAATCCAATGACTTTTAAGACTTTAAGGATCTGCAGGAATCCTGATATAACAATCTGTAATGTCAACAGAGTTCTAGTTATTTTTGTATCTGCTAATGTTGATTAGTTGTGGCGGTGGGACTGCACAATATATTGAAGATTTATTGTAATCATGATAACAGCCTGTGCAACATGTAAACTGTAATAAATGGTTGACTCTGCATTTATGCATTTTGTCATTGAGTTGGAAGCTTGAAGTCTTTCACCAGTCGAATGGAGCCCTTTATGTATTTGGTCAATTGGATGGGTCTCTTCATATTTAAAAAAAATTAAAGGAAATGATWTGCTTTTTTAGGTTGTTTTCTTGGCTTTGAACCCAGAGCAGAAAGATATCAACACTACATTCTTAGGTATTTGTTCATTTATCACAATTTTAAGCACCGTTATCGCACATAGCAGGTTTTCCTAATATCATGAAACCCTGTGTGGCGGCCATCTTGAATATTTTGTTTGATTTATTTTGATGCAAATTTTGACCCAAAGCTGGTTCACCTTGAGCGCTGCAGTTCCTGCGTACTGTTTGCTGATGGTGTCTCCGTTGTTGGCCCACATGACCTGATAGATCCTGTAGCACTTGAGAGGCAGGGGCTGCTCTGGAGGCATCACCCCCAGCTTCTTCAGCTGCAGGAAGAAACCTTCATTTTTGAACATTTCAAAACAAAAACCGACGATACGACGGCATTTCTAAAAGCAGACCCGATGTCCGGTGCCGGGTACGAAACGGGGCCGAACTCTCACCTGCTGCTCCATCACCACCCGAGCGATGGCGGCCTGAACCACGTTGGTCCGGTCCAGACAGTCCATGCAGTTGACCCTGAAGATCCCCTCCTGCTGGCAGATGACGCCGGCCTGGTCCACCCTGACAGACGAGAAAACCTTCAGAACCCAAACTCTGAGCCGGCCGGGGTTTATCCTCCACGGCCCGCACTCACCACGCCCACTTCATGTCAGTGATGATGTCAGAGATGGCATCGGTCAGAGTCTGCACGTTCTCAAACTTCATGCCTCGACTGAGGAAGAGGATGTAGGGACGACAAAGAGGAAGTGAGTAAAAACGWATCAGTCATGAGTGAAAAAAAAAAGCCGAACTTCTCTCACCAGTGCTCGTGGAAGTCAAAGGAAACGTATGTGAGGTTTGGGTTGTTGTAGAGCAGGACCTGCTTCAGGAACGCATCGCCGATGATTTTCTCTCGTCCGCTTTGATCCACCAGGTTGATGATGACCTGAGGAACGCAACGAGGCGAGTTTAGAGTCACAYCTCGTTTTATCACCCAACTTTAAAGCTCATTCATCTGAGACAAACATCTYGAATATCCATCAGCTCGAAGTTTTAGCTGTTTAAATACAAAATAACCTCTAATCTGATCTTTGTGGATCCAACTAACCTGCTTCTTGTAAAGTTTAAGCTGTTCTTCAAAGTGAGCAGCAAAGTAAGACATGGTCTCCTTCTCTCCTGCAAATAATCAGAAAAAATATACAAATTTTCCAAACAAAATGGTGTTAATTCCAAGCGTTAATATCAAAGTTTGTGTTGAGGAGAACTCATCTACCACACTAGATTACAGCTCTATATGCCCTCCAACACTGGCTGGGCCTCGTCACTTTCTGTTTTTAAATCTCTTAAAAACATCTGGTCACTGACTTTTATTCAAGCTTAAGTTATTTTAGTTTTATTGTTCTGTGATCTTTGTTTATTCTCTTTTGGTGCWTTTAAATTAACTTGTTTTATTGTTTTTAAATGTTCAACACTTTAAAAGTGCTTTAAAATGAATCTGACTTGATTATATCTGTAAAACTTAGAGCCGTTCACTTTTCAGAGTGGGCTCATATTTAAATTTTTTTTTAACAAATCCTTTATAGTGCCTGTGACAATAAATTTTTTGTAATAAACATGAATGCATGTTTTTTTAAAAGATAACATTGATAACATGCTGTGAAAAATCACGATGCTGAGATGAACAGCTGTCGAGATATTTGCATGTTCAGTAACAGGAAGTGATGTCACAGGGGAATGTCTGCATGTAAACAGCGTTGCAGTGACGACTAACACGGACTGTGGAGAAGAATCTGATGGTTTCTTAAGATTATTTTAAGTCTATCAGAGAGATTAAATCATATTGTTTCAATAAAAAGGGTTTTTAGAGAGTTCCCCTTTGATGTCACTTCCTGTTTTATTTTGGCGGAGTAGAGTGCAAAAGGAAAAATGCCAGTTTCGTGACAAAATGGATAAAWGTGTTTTATGCAAAGTGTCTTAAATATAAAGATGTTTTGTATTTGAAGGGTATGCATCACAGGCACTTTAATAGAAAACTAATTAGATAAATTAATTTAATCCAATATTCAGGCAAATCCAAAAGACCCAAAACAAAACTAAAGGTTGTTTTTAAGGAATACAACATTTAAAGTCGTCACAGCGTTGTTCCTGCAGCTCGCAGACCTTTCCTGACCTTTCTCTAAGCGGGGTCGGGGGTTGTAGCGATACCCAGCCTGGCTCCAGAACACGGGCACAGAACCACGAGTCTGCACGAAGGACAGCGTGTGGCTGTGCACGTGGATCAGCTGCTCCGTCTCCACGTAGTTCGCCACGTGGCCGTCTGTGTCCACGCCTCGTCGTTTGTAGCGCATCCCTTTGAGGAGGAAGAAGAAAACGCTGGGTCTTTACGTCGATACGTGGAGTTATTSCCCTCGGACCGGGCCGACGGCGGCTCTACCTGCGCGGTGGCGGCTGCGTCTGGAGATGAGCGCCACGGTGAAACGGGGGTGGATGTCGTCCACGCAGGTGATCTCTTTGGGCGGCGTGTCGGGGCTGCTCCGCTCCTCGTCGGACGTCTCGTTGTAGTTCACCACCAGCTCCTCCACCTGAACGAAGCCTTGGATGATGGGGATCAGCCAGTGGTCGGCCTCCGGGACCTGAAGCAACCCAAGAGTTAAAGGATCCACGATGAGTGGTAACATTAAGACTTTATTTAATAAACATTTATTTTAACTGTAAAATAAAGACTGTACAAATAC